TTTCGTTATACATGCCGACAGCTGAAGGCCAACTTACATAACAAGGTTTCTAAAGATGCAAGATTGATAAAGACTATGGACATGTTGTATGGTCGTAATCAGGATTTCGTAGGATTTAATATTTCTTTTTGTGATATGAAGGTCAATATTTTATGCTATGCTCATTAGAGTGCCTTATGGTTTAGTTGTCACTACCCGAAATCCCTATGTGGAGCACTTGGCCTTTCTCTAATTGTAAAGGCTTTCTATATAAATATTTCATTGTTCATATTTTGCTCTAATATTATAGATTTTGAGTTCAAAGTATGGTCGTGTTTTTACTTCGGTATTCTTTTGATTTTATTGGGTTTGTTTGCAGATCAATCAATACTCTCAAGTCATTTTTTACTGTATCCTTATATCCAATAAGAAGATCTCTGAGTACATAACTAAACATAGTAGGTGTGTTTTAGATGGTTAGTTCAATCCAGATTGAGGCAAGATCATGTATCTCAAGATCAAGTATACATTTAATATCACTGGTATTAAAAGTGTAAACAAGGCATCAGCATCCGCAGAGTAAAATATATCCTTCCTGAAAACATTACCAAAGTTACCAAAAGAAATCTCATTAATTAATTAATCAAGTTAAGTTACAGAAACGAAAACAAATAGGAACAAAAATATCAAACAAAGCAGTTGACGATCACATATTTTATGTATAATACTAATAGCAGTAGAAAGGGGCTTCTATAAAAAAAAGGGCAGCCAGTTCCTTAACTTCCTGCTTCAACAGACTCTGATGGTTTTACATACACTATAACTAACAAACAACAGAACGTTGTCCCGAGGATGTTAACTGTGGGTAGCATGTCGTCAGGTATGGTATGTATACAAGCTTACACCTCACTACTACCAGGTAAATTTTACTTCCTGATTGTCAAGTCCATTTATTTTTAACTATTTCATTCAATGATTGATGTTTGATGTTATGGTTTAACACAGAGGTGTAATTCAAAAATAAATTTAGTTCAATGATGACGATGACTTGCAACCAACAAAAAAGGAACACCTTATAATGAGCAAACTTTTATTATCAGGATACCTGTATACGTATATGTTACCAGATACCATTGTAGAGTTTACATATATATTCAACTCCTCTCAGATAACACGAAATCCATATATTCCGAATTCTGATATAAACTGAAACGATAAGTCCTGACATATCCAATTTGTGTTGTTGTATATGCCACATTGACAATACAGTGAAACTGTAAACAAATTATAATATTATAAATAAGACCTTGGTAGGTCGGTCAGACAGGGGTTTAAATAGCCTGCTATTCATTACCCGTATAAAGCACCAGTTAGCATCGTGGGTCGTGTAAATATAATCACAATGTACACAGCAAAGTATAATATTTGATAATGTATGTTGTTCGACAGCATGATATCACATGCATATATATCAAAACATAGACTAGACGTTTACAAAGAAGATTACGTAACCACAGCCCAAAAGTCTATTTTGGTAACCATTAGCAGGTATTTATCAACTCTATAGTATGGTACAACGCTTATGTTTGCTATTACAATAACGCCATTGGTACACATCAGTCTTGTAAATAATATGCATTCAAAGGTTTTGGTCAGGTGACAGAAAAATCAATATCTATATAATTATACACTATGGTTTTGATAGTAAGGTAGTCCAAAAAGTTTTACAGTCAAATGCTTTCCGATGTTTTATGATTAATGTCAAGTTCAGTGACAAATCCATGATATGTTTACTGTTCAACAAACAGCCAAATCCATGTACATAGTATATAAATGGCTATAGTAACTGAAGTGCGAAGATAGCGTTTGCACCGTCATCCTAGGACTGTTGTAAATATATAACCTGACACTGTGAGAGTTCGAATTGAAGCTTTGCGACTCTCTCCACATCGAGACAATAACTAGCAGTTCTTTTTCTGTAAATTAAAATCTATTTATTTTACAACAATTTTAAAACAAATTCTAAAACAAATGTATCAATATAATATTACTCTTGTTGGACGGGGGTCTTATTATGGCAGGAAACCGTATTAATCGGATGGAAACCCACGTGGTTGGGCAGGTGACCCTATTCATTTTCATATCCGATCGGGAAATCGAACGCTGACCGTCTTGGTGAAAGTGCGCTTTCCTGCTAAATTACTTGGATTTCGTTCATACATTATATTGCTGCCGATCTAAGGTAATCGCGAATGAACGCTGTTACATTTGTATATTTGTATTGCTTTTCGCGTGATACTCGGTTTCGTGATGAAAGCTTAATGAGCATTGTCCTGCATCAGGCAAAATATAAGAGAATTCCGTAGCAGTTTTTCATACAAACGGTAATATCTTCCTAATTTCAATTTCAAAGTTTTATATATACACAAGCAATGTACGTGCCTCAACATTTCAAGACCAACTGGTCCCTTTATTAAGCTATGACTTTTTTGCAGATCAAAAAATACCCCTAATATCATTGTCAATAAGACAAGATCTTGTATCCCCAGATCAAGTCTACATTTAATATTTATGGTATTATAAGCGTTAAACAAGACAACAACACCTGACAGATTTAGTTCTATCCTTCCTGTAAACATTACCGAAGTTTCCAAAAGCGATCTCATAGATTCACCAAGATAAGTTACAGAAACGAAACAAATAGAAACAACAATATCAAATTAAGACATTAATAAACATACTAGATATATATAAAAAAAGGCATCATGATAAAAATCAAAGTTCAAATATTCAACAGAATATTACGGTGTCGGATATATTTGTATTAGAATACAACTGCACTACGATATGCAAAGGTTTTCGGTACTTACTTAAATACGATATATGTATTCCCTATACAAAAGTGTTTATTATCATATCTCTGTTGTTTAAAACACATCGGCAATTTTCTGATGTTTTTTCCCAATTGTATTTTGTTTAATAAACTCACATATAAAAATCAAGTCGCCGACAATCGATGGTTATTCTGACCCGAAATAAACAATAATCAATTATTTAAGACACTGTTTAGAGATACTACGCAGGTTGTCCTCGGGCCAAAGGATCGAACTTGTACCTATCAGCATACCAGTATTTAAACAGGGAGTGTTCGATTCCCCGATCAGATGTAAACACAGTTGAAAACGCTCAGAACTCTTGGCTAACGGGACTGATTATCTATTTACAGGGCAACATGCCATTTTATTAGTAAAATTCAATCAACCAAAATCGACCTTAACAGATTTATTTCAAACCTTAAAAACCCTGTATTCTCTAATGAACAATTATTGAGATAAATATTATAAAATAAAGCAGTAAATAAAAAAATATAAAAATTGAAGCAGTTTTAAGTTTACTGTTGCGCGGTAAAAAAAAAATGCATAAAAAACCCGATCTAATTACTTTTAAGAATACACCTAAGCTGAATAGTTAATTCCGATAAAATCGACATTTGATTTCTACTTACCTTCCTGCTACAACAGATTCTGATGGTGTTATATAAACTATAACTAGCAAACAAAAGAACGTTGTCCCGAGGGTGTTCACGGTGGGGTACATGCCGTCAAGTATGGTTATGTATACTAGCTTACACCTAACTACTTGCAGGTGAATTTTACTTCCTGATTGTCAAGTCTATTGATTTTTAACAGTTATATTTGATGATTAAGGAGCGATATTTAACGTAATATATATGTGCAATATCTGAGTACATTGTAACCTACAGAACCCTACCTCGTATACTCAGGAAACAACGTACCTGTATAATTATATGTTACATTTGAGTGTTAACCTAACTAGAAATGCGCTACTTTAAAACTTGAAGTTCACTACGTTAAGACTTGTAGTTCACTACGTTAAGACTTGTAGTTCACTACGTTAAGTCTTGTAGTTCACTACGTTAAGACTTTTAGTTCATTATGTTGAGACGTGTAGTTCATTATGTTAAGACTTGTAGTTCACTATGTTAAGACTTGTAGTTCATTATTTTCAGACTTGTAGTTCATTATGTTCAGACATGTAGTTCACTATGTTTAGATTTGTAGTTCACTACGTTGAGCATTGTAGCTAACTACGTTGAGAGTGTAGTTTACTACGTTCAGACTTGTAGTTCACTACGCTAAGTTCACGATGTTCAGATTATAAGTAACTGCACTAGAGTCCTTTCAGGGATTTAAAATATTGATAAAATTGGATATTTATGAATAGCTGATAAGTCTGAAATGAATGTATCTATTTGTATAAAAAATGCCAATAATTAAAAAGAAGTTAATCAATAACTGCATACTCGTCATACAGTGTATAAAGCATTACAATATAGATCAGTTGAATTTTTCTACCTTTTAATCCAGAAACTGCAGGTTTTTCAAATATGTCGAAATGTTTCACATTTACTTATTTAGATTTGATATGCCTTATAGTAAAACTGTCAATAATTCTGTGTATGTGTTTTCATTCTGATAATTAGAACATTTTTTATGAGCTTTTCATTTTTATTCGTTATACAGAACCCATTATCAAAAGCAATTGTTTAATAGCCATTTCTTGGATTCTAAGTAAAAATCTAACTCAATAGCAAAATACACATATCCAATATGGAATTGAAGCAATAAACATCAAAATAATCAGATTCATTAAAACTGTGATGGCTACTTATAATACAAAATATTAAACTATCGTAGGCAATTTAGTTTCCGAACAGGCAAATTCCCACTTTTCACTGCAATTTTAACTCCTCAAAATTGATTGATGACCTATGGATTGAATCAGCGTTTCAGAGAAACTTATTTACCATAATTGTGTTACATGCAGAATATCTGTAAATGGATTGTGAACCATCGAATGCAACGGCAAAATAGGTAAGTACGATTCCTGATGATCTTGCGTCACTAAAACAGACACCAATACATAAAACAATATTAAAAACAATTCAACGATTAAATATTTTTATTGTTAAACTTCAAAAACTCTAAAAAGACCAAACTACTAAAGAACATAATTATATTTAGATGGAATGCATTCTAAAGTAACATAAAGATTGGATATTAAAATGTCAAGAAGATTTCCATCAGCTAAACATACATTACTTAGACCAACGGATAGTTTGAAATATCAAAGAAGTGATGCTGCATGATATAATAAACGTGCAATATCTCGTATCGAATATGTTATTATCTATATATATTTGCATAAGAGACTCAGATGTCTTCATGTTAATTGTATCTTCATGCCTTGCAATTGTACATTTGCTAATTGTTATGATTCAAGAACTTAGTTACTAGGGATGGGGTGAAATTTATAAGCAATACTGATAGTATGTGTGTTTTGGCTATAAGAGGGAATCTAAATCATTCTGAAGTACGTATAGCACGATTTTACAATCAAACTACTGCTAGTTGGGCCACAATCCTCCGGCTCAAGGGGTCGTACCAACTTCATATTTAGAAAATGGAATAATCCTGCCACATTCATATTTAAAAATAAATATGGCTACCATTCGTGCATCCTTTAGGGAGTAGTAGGAATTTGAAATAAAACATGCCAACCTCATTTATAAACATTTCAAACCAATTTCTTGTAAGTGGTTTTGATGATTACAAATAAGATTTTTTTGGTATTCAATGGAAAACTACAACTTTACAAAATTTGATTTGTGTAATATTTGTATACACAAGTTTGTAACGAAGCATATACTGATCACCACAAAGAATCCGATACTAGTTGTGAAACTCTCGGTGTTAACATAGATATTTTCGATATCTGGAACTGAAATAGACACAAATCGTTCACGGTTAAGATGCACATCTTTTGAAATTGAAATAACAGATATTCTCTCTTTGTCATAAAATGTTGTACAACCATTGGGGTTAAAGTTATTTATATCAGCGTGTTGGAAAAATTCGAGAAGATTTCGTTTCACCGTCGTAATGATCAGTATGTAAATTCTATTTTCACTTTCAAATAACTTCGAGATGTAGTTTCAACATAAAAACAGCCTCGCTACCCCTCTGCTAGTATTTCAATTATTAATTGAGATTAGAAAAGTAAAATGGGCTATCAAAAATATACATAATATATAAATAATAAGCGAACAATCTGATTTAAAAAACCAGGTCTTTAATTCCACTCCGATACCTTGGAACGTAGAGTATCGGAATGTAATTAAAGATCTGGTTTTGATCAGATTGATGAGCGAAAGAAGATCAATGATATGTTGTAATAAGATATACATATTTATATAAACAAACTGTTCAGTAACACAGTACTATCCTGCCGGACATATAAATCTAAAGTTTAATAATGTTGTTTCCTCTACTTGAATTCGGATGTATAACACAATGGCCATAAAACAAATAATGAAGTCCGATGTCTATGCACTCTTTAAAAATGCAACGTTGTTTTACATGTAGTATAGAGGCCGCTACGTTCTACGGCCTTGACGACGATGTGTATTAGAACCGTTTCCTGGTCGACTATTTTATCTGGGATTCCAAGTACTAAATGGTTCTCCGTGGTGTACTGCCATTGTACGATGTCCACGCCTCCAAGCGTTCCTGCTGACACTTCGTAGAAATGAATATCGACTGTGTCAGAAAACACATCTGACCAATCTACACTCAGCGTGTTCTTAGTTGACGTAACGGTTTCAAATTTGTCTTCTGAAATTCAAAAATTCAAAATCCATCAAATGTTTTGCTTGGCGATTTGTATCAATCTTGTTTTTTCCCCTTATTTTATTAATTAAGAATGGTCAGTACAGATACAAAGCGGTACAGTATCTTATAGGTTTTATAAATGGAAACGTTAATATATTATATGAATTGAACATGTGAAAATGTCCTGATATATTTCCAAAAGACATAACATTGTTTTACTTTTCTTTAACCATCCTATTCAGTACCTTTACACGACTTGTCCATAGCTGTGTGGATCCTCAACTGTTCCAGTAGTGTGTTGCTTTTCATCCCCAGTGTGTTAATAGCACTAACGGATAGGTTGTAGATCCCATTAGTGAGCAACATATCTCCTGTTACACATACTTTTGACACAAGTGGATCCAGGGATTCGATGACGTCTTTGAACGAAATATCAGGGCCGCTGACAGCAAACTGTAACATAAATGTTATACAAAACATTGCATACACACTGTGTACAACTTATTTAGAGAGGGCGTACAGTACCCGCATCACTAGTACGGTACCTCAAGTAACAAATAGTTTTTAATTTCCTAACTGAGAAGAAACTAAAATAATATCAGCTGATCTGAAGCCAGGGCTTCAAAATATGATTTGGTATAAATAAACACTAGTTTATGGAGCGCAACGGAACCTTAAATGCATTTGTTTATCAATAGGTGATCATATTAGAAAAAACAAGTTGACATTGTGATGAGATCTGATGTTGTCTGTTATTACCTCATACAGAATACCGATGGTATCGATGGGGGTCCATTCACATCTGATACCCAAACTGCTACTCTGATAGCCGTCCTGTGCCGGGTACTCTGTGGCCGACATCTCTATCACATCAATGGTGCCGTAGGGAAGAACTGGGGCCGTCGTCGTGATTTGGACTCCATTGGTGGTTGCTAGGGTCTTTAAACTGGCACCATTTTCACATTCAACACTGGAATACACTTTTTTACCATCAATTCTGCTCATATTCAGTTCTACAAAAGCTGAAGTTGCTGTCGCTGGAACTTTTGTAAAAGATTGGATATCGTTTTCGAAGTAATTTGTTCCTACAAAACAATTTGGAGTAATTAGTATTCTGCGTTGTTATACCATGTCTTGCAGTTAGCTTGATGTTGAGCAAACTGGCCAAGATATATCCTAAGAAACTTATAATTTAGCTGACATCAGTCATGTATGATGAGATTATGTTTATATATCCATATTTTTATCTATCAGATGTATATTGTTGTTTTCTCTCTCGTTTAAGCATTT